GAAAAACTTGATTTTAAAAAAATGAAAAGGTATGTAGTAAACTACTATAAACAAAGCCAAACATTCTGCCTGCTTGTGGTACCAGGAGCAAGCTGCAAGAGGACCCATCCTCTGACCTGAAGGCTGGTGTCAATACCAACAGCCACCAAGTATTATTCCTTCAACTTTAGGCTCTCAGTAAACAATGATGTTCCTCACTGTTTCAGGCTGGGATGTATAGACCTCTGTATGGTCTGGGACACAGCTCATTACCACCTCTCTGATCAGTGCCACAGGTCCTACACTGAAGACCTCAGCAGAGGGAGGCTTCTCAAGAGCAGGTCTTGGCTGGAGAGACAGGGGCCAACACAGAGCCCAGGAATCTGAAGGGTGGCTGTTTGGTGCCCTTCTGCTTGTTTCCTTCCCTTGTACACTGAAACAGGATCCTCAAGGTTGAACAAAGTCTAAATCTTTGAGGTCCCCATGGTGTACTGGCAGCTCAGATCACAGAGAGTATATAAAGAGTTCCTACATGCCAATAAGAAAAACAAATGACAACAAAATATTGCAACAGATAGTTCAAAGAAAAGGAAGTATAAATGGCTCTTAAACATATGAAACGATCTTGCCCTAATAAGCCCTCTTTTGGAAGGCTGTTGAGTCAGCACTGCTGGTTGAAAAGTCCACCCCCCACCCACAGTTGCATTTTCCCGGTTATCTCAAGGACCCATTCACTTGGTGATCATTTCTCACCATCAGAGTGTTCACAAAGAAATTCAGCAAGAGAGTAGAGGGCTCATGCTCACTCACCTCCTCTGGCCCCAATTATCTAGATGAAAAGAGAGTAAAAAACATAAAAGGAAAAAAAAGGAATAAATTTAAAATAGTGCTGAGGTCAGGAAAGGATGTGGCAGACACTGGGATTCGTTATGTCCACATCTGCTCTAAGACCTCTTTTACTTTTTTTTTTTTCAGAGGCAGAATTTTCCCAGCCTCCTCTGCAACAGGGGTGCCTGAGCGGTTTAATGGTGCCTGTGAGGATGGGCTAGTTTATGGGGAAGCTCTTCCATTGCTGATGACAGGGGTGGATGTTGCTGGTACCAGCTTCCTCCTCTTCTGCTTCCCTGAACTTGGACATGAAAGCCAGCCTCCTTTTGACCATGAGGAGACGTAGGCTACTAGCTTTCTTCATATAACTTGTTTCGGAGAAGAGAAAAAACATTATTTCATCTACCGTAAGATGAGTTATCATTTACCTGCAGCTGAAGGCATCAGTCATGGATATTGGGGACTATGAACAGACCAGCAATTTTAGGCAGTACATAGAAGGTAGAAAGCAGAGTCACTGACAGGTGACTCTAGCAGGGAAGCCACAGGTTCTCCAGCGCAAAGCCTCAATGGAGTGTCCTGCAAGGAGTTGGCAAGAACAACCAGCAGGAAGGAGGGGAAATGGAAAAGAAATCACGGCCATTTGTTCCTTCTGTCAGTACTACTATGGCCCAGGGCACTTACCTTCAGGCTGAAACAGAGAACTGCTATGGTGAGCTTTGGTTGGTGTTTCAGGTTAAGGCTGCCAGAGTGGGAGCTGGGTCACAGAGTGAAGCCCCACAACATGGCCACAAGGGGGTTGGTTGGGCAGGTGCCTGCCTGTCTTCCTCCTAAGCAGATGGCCTGTCAGCCTGCCCCGGAGGTGAGGTGTGCTGGGGAAACAGCTCTACTCTTGCAAAGGAAACCTGAGCCAGCTACCAAACTGGGTCCCTCATTTGTAACTACAACCTGACAATCAAGGATCCCCAGATGATAGCAGAAAATGTTCAAAAGTAAAGACAACAATGAAAAAATCAAAGCCTAAACCCAGAAAAGGCAGATAATTCAGGGATCAAGTTACCTTAAAAACGTTCTGGTCAGCATCTGAAAATGATAGCTGAGATAATATCACAAGCTTTTTCTAGTAACAGACCAGGCAATTCACAACAACCTTCCCCACTGGGAACAGGGGAAAAAACTGGACAAATAGAAGCAGACCTCAGAGAAATACTGTTAATGACAAAAGATTGAGGCATGCTGTGGGGAAGGCAGAAATCCAGACAGGGATGCCTTTGCTTTGGAAAGATTTATCCACGAGGAAGAGCCTAAGCAGAGCCTCTATTAGACTTGAGAGTCTAGGGGGACCAAAGCAGGAGTGAGGGCCCAAGAAAAGTGGGGTCCCTGCTAATTCACCCTCCTTTGTGGGGGTACTCCAAAGGTATGCAACCTAGAATAAGAGTAAACTGGAAGTAAACCAGCCCCTGCACCAACTAGTGTCCAGCTTTGCATCCCAGGCAGTCCAGAAAACCTCAGTCCCTGGACTAGATCGAGGAGTCCCTGCAGTGCTGGTGCCTCGAGAAGCTGGCAGTGGCAAACAGAAGTGCTCTTTGGAAGAAGAGAACAGCACCTTAGGCCTCAAACTATTTCTACAAAGAATTTTTCAAATACCGTGTCCAGCAGACGGTATGGTCCAAATAACTGGAACATAAGGAGATAAGACAATATGAGGCCTGGTGAGGTCCCTCATGCCTGTAATTCTAGCATTCTGGGAGGCCAAGATGGGAGGATTGCTTGAGGTCAGGAGTTTGAGACCAGCCTGAGCAAGAACAAGACCACACCTCTACAAAAAATAGAAAAATTAGCCAGGAGTCGTGGTGCCCCTGTAATCCCAGCTACTTGAGAGGCTGAGGCAGGAGGATTGCTTGTGCCCAGAAATTTGAGGCTGTAGTGAGCTATGATGACACCACTGCATGCTAGCCCAGATGACAGAGCAAGACTCTGTCTCAAAAAAAAAAAAAAAAAGACAACATAAATGAGAACCAGCAGAAACATTTACAAGCAATGAAAATGGATCTGCAAGGACTCCCAATACTAGAACTATCAGACATAAAACTTTAAAATAAAACAAATAAGCTTACTATGCTCAAATAGATAAAAGACTAAATTAAAAATCTGACAGAGAATTTCAAGTATAAAAAAAGATACTTCAGTTTTGTTTTTGGTTTTTTTTTTGAGACAGGGTCTTGTTCTGTTGCCTGGGCTAGAGTGCAGCGTCCATCATGATAGCTCACAGCAACCTCAAACTCCTGGCCTCAAGTGATCCTGCTGCCTCAGCCTCCTGAGTAGCTGGGACTACAGGTACATACTCCCATGTCCAGTTAATTTTTCTATTTTTTTGGAGAGACAGGGTCTCACTATGTTACCCAGGCTGGTCTTGTACTCCTGGCCTCAAGCAATCGTCCTGCCTTGGCCTCCCGAAGTACTGGGAATACAGGCATGAGCCATTGCACCTGGCTGACATTGCGGGTTTTAAAAAGAGAGGATGTATTTCTCAGATCATGGGGCAAATGAAAGGGAAGACATAGTTTAAAAAGAGAACTAAGGAAAATCACTGATCTCTGTCTCTGTTTTCATAGAATGAATGAAAGACATGACTCAGTGCTTGGTGTCTCTTCAAAACACCAAGACAGGATTCCAAAAGTACTTACAAAGCAATGGAAATCATATTTATGTTAAGCTTTTTAGCAACACTGGATGCTAAAAGTCTATGGAAGGATACATTCAAAGATCTAAGGGGAATTGATTTTGAACCTAGGATTCCATTACCCAACCAACTTAAGATATACTGCAACAAAATTTAAAAATGGAATAAAAAACATAGGCCACTGTACACACCATGGCCTTCAAAGGCCTGTGAAAAGTGACCCTTTGGCCTTTCTGATTGCTACTCCTTTCACCTTCCCATCCCACGATGCTTGGCTGTCCCTTTACACTCCAAGCTCACCCACCTCAGGGCCTTTGCACCTGCTGCTCCCTCTGCCTGGACGTTCTTCCCCCTGTCTTTACTGGTCTCTGTCAGTCAGTTAGGCCTTTCCTGATCGCTGATTATGAAACAGCATCTTGCCAGTATTCTGCATCCCCCTCCCCTTAATTTTCTTCCACAGGTACTTGCTCACCTGTTCAGTCTGCCTCTCTCCACAAGATGCAGACCCATGAAGGCAGGGACTCAGTCTGCCTTGTTCCCTCTGCCTGCCCTGTGCCTAGAACACACCCGGACAGAACAGGTGCCCCATCAGTGATTGCTGAGTGACCACACGTAGCTGTGAGCCAGCTCCTCCTTCTCCGACTCAACCACTGGTATGAGCCAGCCAAAGGCATCTGCAGGCGACCACACGTTCATTATGCTCTTTCCTTCTATGCCCAACCACTGCACCACATCTTGTTGGTTCTGCCTCCAAAACACATCTTGAGTCTGTCTCCTTTCCATGCCCACGTTCACCATGCTGATCCAAGTCACCTTCATGTCTTCCTGGGACTGCTACAGAAGATATGCCCTGATCAGCTTTCTATGTGGGTTCATGACACCTCTGTGCCAACTCTTTCAGCAGCTCCTGCTGCCCAGGAGAAAACCCCAGCTCCTCACAAGGTCTCCACAGGCACCTCCTGTTTGTCCCTCTGCCTCACCTCACATTACTCTCTCCTTTTGCCTCAGATGTGCCAGCCACAGTGGCCTCCAGTGGACTATACATCTCTGTTTTTACTATCACTTCTGCCAGGTATCTGCAGGCCTGGCTCACAATTCTCTCCCGAGGTCTTTCCTCCTAGGCACTCTCATCTCACCACCCCTGCCAGTCTTCAAGTATCCTACTGACCTAAGTGCCACCGTGCTCCTGTATGCCTCCCTACCAGACTGTGAGCTCCACGAAGGCAGGAAAGTCGCTTTCATCTTCACAACCAAACTCAGAGCCCCCGCAGGCAGCCTCCCTTGGCACAGGTGCGTGACACACTGCTCTCAGGCTCCTAATGCCCAGGGCCCAGCTCCAGCCAGGTCGTGGAGGGCTGGTATGTTGCCCTCTCAATGACGCTGGACCCAAGGCAGGGTGCTGGAGAAGTCTAACAGTGAAGAATTTCAAAGCACTTTGGCTTATTTTTAAAATCTCCACCTTCACGTTTCAAGAGAGAATTCTTGCAGCAAGAAGGAAAGAAGCACCTACCACTACTGTTGACTCCCACTGGCTTCCAGTGGAGTAGTGAACTGGACCCAGTAAGTCCTTGCATATTTCTCGGAGTCGGTATTCAAACCCTAATTATAGGGGGGAAAAAAACAAAAACAAAAACAAACAAAACAGAACAGAAATAGGAACACATTACAAAAAGAAATAAAAAAATCAAGAATATGCTAAGTTGTTGTATATATTAAAACAGAATGAATGCTTATTTTTTGCCTACTATGGGCAAAATGCACCTGCATGTCTTTCAATGTGGAGCACAGAGACCCACAATCAGATTCTCACTTACTCACCCACTCCCCTGACGACATATGCAGCACCCCATCTGTGCTGAGCCCAAAGGAGAAATGAGATGTGGCCAGTTCTGTGACAAACCCCCCAAGGTGATGTGAAAACATGGGAAACTGAGGTAGGAGGGGAGTGGGCTGATGAGATATGTCTGGGAGAGGACGGGCCGGCAGCTGGTGTGAGAGGAGGTCAGGAGGGTCAGGACACCAGCCCGCAGAAGGTGAGAGGTACTGAGGGCAAGATCAGGGAGTGGCCCTTGCAGGGAAGAGTGTGGCCCGTCAACTTGAGGTTACAGACACCACCAAGTGGGGCTGCCAGAAAGCCTAGAAGCAGAGTCTGGGGGGTTTGTCAGCTCTTGTGGGCAGCTGAAGCCATAGAGAATGGATGAAATCGCCCAAAGAAAAGGATGGAGAATAATAGGGATGAAACTGCAATCTGAGGAATTCTGGAAGTGCATGACATCGTGCTTTAACACTTGATTCCTCCTCTTATGGCTGAGGAAACAAGGGACGGGGTGGGAGGTTGTCTATGACTGACATGTGGACATTAGAACAGACATGGAAGACAGAGAAAGGTAAGCAAGTGGTAGAAAGATCCCACAGGTGGGTGGCGGGGTGGACAGAAGGCAGGGACACTACACAGATGTCATGGTGAGTCCTGATCAACACCCCGAATGAAGCAAAACAGAGTGGAGTAAGGGGGGAGGGTTCCAGGGGAACAGGGTGTGAGACCTAAGATGTGACTAGAGCACTGCGGGAAAGGCTTGGGAAGGCTGAGTGTTCAGAAAAGCTGGGGCCCACACACCCTGGGCAACCGAATAGACCTGGTGGGAAGAGGAAACACCAGATTCATCCCTGGAGTTTGCCAGGGAGGGAGGTAGGGCTTTAAGTAGATCAGCAGTGTTTGTTGTCATGACAGGTGTATACACAGAGTCAGAGACACATGGGACAGGTTAGTTCTGGGATCTGGGAGTTACATTTATACGGCTTTGATATATTTTTCTGTCTTTTCTGCACTTATTTTTTTCTCTCAATTATAATCAAAACGGGGAGGGTGATGACAAAAGCAAACCAAAAGACCAGGAGTGCCATGGAGGAGATGTTCCATGAACAGGCTGGGGCTGCAAGGTGACGCAGGGAGAACTTTGGGAGGCCCATCGCATGTCCTGGCCCCTGGAGGTCAAGTTCAAGTGGAAGACAGCCTGCTAAGTCAGGAACCCACGTGTGTCCAGCAGAGGGAGGAGAGGCTACTGGAGGTCACTCTGAGGTCAGTACAGCCACCTCTTCTAGCACACATACTTCCTGCAGGGGAGGCCACGGAGGGGCATACATGCTGTAAAAGCCTTGGCAAGAAGTATGGGGGCTGGAGGGCCAGGGGATGCACTGGGCAGCAGGCAGGGCTTTCCACACAAGAGGGGCTTAGAGGAAGAGAAATGCTACCATAAAATGCCATCCCTTGGGATGACCAGTTCACTGACTACCCAGCACTGCCAGGGTGTGGTGGAGGGCAGGAGCCAGGACGCGTGAGTCTACCCTCCCTTCCTGGTACCAGTCCTCCTGCTCCTCTGCGAGAACAATCCTCAGGCCCCCTCTATTGAGGGACCTGAAGCCTGTAGGGGGCTGGGAGCATGCTGAGCTAATTGCAGCTCATGCTGGGAGGCAGGCGCTGAGTCTCACCTCACTGATGGAAGCAGGAAGGGGGTGCCTAGGGCCAGTCATGTACCCATGAGGAATTTGCAAGAGTGCAGGGAGCCCTGGACCACTGCACCGCTTCCCTGATTCATCGGCACTGAGCCAGGCCTGGGAGGGTAGAGGGGCAGAAGGCAGCTGCTCAGGACTGCAGGAACCTCACCTTCGTTCACAAGGTACCGTGCGTAGAGGAGGAGCCAATGGCGGTACTCGTGGCTAGACTGCAGAGTGAGTGCCGCTGCAACCTGGTTCTCTAGGTAGGCCAGGGTGGTCTCCTGCTGCACCACATGAGGCACGGAGAAGAGCCGGGCAGCCTGTCTTCCCGAGCTGCAAAGGCCGGTAGAGCACAATGAGGCAGTGGGTGCTGCCCGGAGATGGGAGTTGCCTCCATGGGCCCCAGGTGAGGCCCTGGCAGATGGCAGGTACCAGGGCTGCCGAGGCCTCCCACCCACCAGCTGGTCTACTGGCAAATGCCACTGACTCCTTGTTGGCCTACCCGTCCCACATCATAGCCATGGGCCTCCTGGCACCCCAGGAGTACCTCACCCTGTACCTGCCATCTGGGCCGCTTAAGTGAACACTCCCACCCCAAGATATTACCTGATGCAAGCCCACATCCCTTGCACCCCCAGCCTGCACCACCCAGCCTGACTGTGCTGAGCAGCACTTGGGACACAGGCAATTAGAGACCAGGCCTGGGTAGGACTGTGCTTGCACCAACCCAGTCACCTCCTGGGGCAGGACTGCGGATGATGGCCATGGCACTTAGGTCACGTACTTGGAAGTGCGGCCCTGGATTATGGCTAAGGGTCCTGAGCACAGCATAGCGTCCTGGGATGGCAGGCTGCTCCTGAAGTCCGCACACAGAGCTAGTGAGTCCTGCTTGTCAGAAACCAGGTTCCTGGGGAGGCAAAGGCAGGAGCAGAGCTCAGGGAAGCAGGAGGCCACAGAGGAGCAAGTTCCAGCAATATGCAGGCAGAAAGCCAGCAACGGCTATCTGGCCCTGCACTTCAGAACAGGTGCTTGTCACCGACAGGCTTCCTAGTGATGGACCTGGCAAGTTACTGTTCCCAAGAAAAAAATGAGTGACAGTGAAGGTCACTGATAGGGCTCTTGCTGCAAACACTTCAGCTCCACGGGCTTGGTTCCTGATGACTGCGGGGGCCTCTGTGTGTGGTGTGTCCCAGTGCCCAGCTCCAACACTGCTATGGCCTGCCCAGGGTCCCACGAGGCCCAGGCCTTGACAGCTGCTGAGAACACCAGCCCTCAGCCTACCTGTGCTTCTGCAATGACCCCGGGCAGGCAGTTCTGCCTTCTCTGGACCCTTCACCTCTTTGTTAAGAAAACGTTCTTCATACACTTAGAATAGCCAGGCGCCTTTGTAAATGTGTCTGAAATACAAACACGCCTATGAAGAGTCAAGATCTCTCTTTGTAAGTAATCGGCCTATTTCCATTACTACAGCAATCACATATAATCCCCAACATTATGCAATTTGGAAGAGCAGATGGTGGAGAATTTTTTTTAACTCAAGAAATTTCAGTGTGAGTATAAACTTGTGCTTGGCAACTCCTAACACAAAAGGGGCTAGGAGGTAGCAAGCTTTGGTTCTTAAAGACCAAAGGTATAGGCATAAGAAAAAAATTTCTTGGAGTGCTAGGACACAATTTATACACTTCATGTGTCTGGGCTAAGATCTCTGATGTATAAGGGAATTTTACAAGTACAGAAAAGGGCTCTAGATTCCAAAGTGGGCAGAGGAAAATCATGGCTCTGGCACCTGGGTGAGTATGCACCCTTACTACTTCCCTAAGGATGTCTCAAGTGCTACTGTGGTCCTGCTAAGCTCCCAGAAACTGACTACTGCTGGCAAGGCTACTGTGGAGCTTACTCGCCTACACAGACGATGGCTAAGAAGGCCAGTCTGGAAATACATATCAAGAACCATAAAAATTTTCAAATGCCTTTTCCAAAAAAAGTGGCCCCAGTAAATAATGCAGGAGGACAGCGTTCCTGCACACATGCTCTGAGGGCAGAGGCCAGGAGCTACAGCATCCCACAGGACGGGGGAGCAGGCGCTGGCTGTCGCCGTGGCCTGCACTCCAGGGCCTGACACTCAGGACTTTGCTTTGCTATCCGGAGCAGACAGATTCTGGGGAGTGGCTTGCTTACCATGTTGACAGTGACGGATTGAAGCAGTATGCCTTTCCATCAGACAGGTTCATAACTGGGATTCCATGCTGCGTCAGCAAGATCTGTGACACTGTCATATCACTTCCTGAGGGACACCACAGGAATGAGTTCTGGGTGTGTTCTGATTAGCAAGTGTTTACGCATACACCAAAGGAGAAATCTGAATCATGGCTCCCATGGTCTCAGCAGCAAGCACCTCCCTAGCAACTAGGGAGACAGTGGGTCTCACACTGCCACCCACCAGGCTCTTGGTCACTTCTTGGGGACCCGTTCAAACATGCCTCCAGAAAGCATGTGTCTCCCTGCAGCATAACTGCACCCCCACCTCACGGAGAACCCCAGGCTGGGCCCAGAACCTGGCTTGCCCTCTAGGCTGAAGGGGCCCTTCCGCAGCATCAGCCCCGGGATCCAGGCCCCAGGGGAGGAGGGGCGGCCTGTGGTCTGGGTTACCTGTCAAGATGGAGTGTAGAGACTCTTCTTTCACCACAACCACCTGCCTGTGAACATCCCTAGGAGGGACACAGGGAATAGCTTACTCTCTAATCAAGGTAAACATATCAGAGTGTGCCTTGGCCACCTAGACACCCACCCAGTTCCTTCCCAGGCCCCAGCCCTGGCCTCTCCTAGTGAGACGGGTCTGGGCTACAAGTGGCTTCTACTCCCCACAGGCTACTACGCTCCCTCTGCACAAGTCCACAGTGCAGGGCCCAGGTAGCAGAGCCATGGGGGCTACCCCTGACGCCCACACCCACTCTGAGAGAAGCTGGGCCACAGCAGCCACACCAGGAGCATGGCCGCACTGCCAGCAGAGACCCCACACAGGACCCTGGCGTGGGCTTCTCCTGTAAGGACGACTGGGGCCCAGGCAGGCTGCCTCCCTCCCTCTCACACACTCTCAGCCCTCAGGCCACATGAGGTGGCAACACAAGCACTGTCACTGACTGCTCAGTGCCTCCTCCGCTGCCTACCCTGCCCAGAGCCCATCCCCTCCTGTGCCTGCCTCTCACCAGACGGACAGTGTGGCCGCAGCAGTGAGTGCCATGACGTAGGAGCCTGTGCAATGTAAAGTAGAGATCGGGGACGGCAGGAGGATGGGAGGAAGGAGGCGGCGACCACAGGTGGAGAACACTGACAGCATCCTTTTTTCGCAGGCGACACACACCACATCACTGAGTAGGCAGAGGAGGGACAGGTGTCACAGGAGCTGGGCTCTACTGAGGCAGTAGCCCTGGGGGATGCCAGAGCCCTTCCTCTGCCTGGGCCTTCCCCCGGAGCAGGTACGGCCAGAGGGAGAGGCAGAGAGGGCTGCAGTGAGGAGAGATTTCTGTCGTCCTCCCAGTCACAGGCTACTCATGCTCTGCTGAGTTCATGCTGATGCTGACTGTGGCGGGTGGGGGCCTTGGAGGGCGACTGCACCTGACAGTCACCCAAGAAGCATGCCCTGCTCGTCAGAGGCCACACAGTGCCCCTGACAGTCTCCTGGTATGACTAGCCAGACCAGTCCTGAGAAGGTCTGTGCCAAGGCAGGCTGGGAGAAGTGTAGGGACACCAGCTGTGTGCTCAGGAGACTGGCTGGCTGGGGTGGGAGAGGCATGTGGCTTCCAAGCAAGCAGGGCCCCAAAGAACTCGTGTCTGGACATCGTCCAGCGTCTCTTCTAAGCGACCGCAGCAGAAGTAGGCTGCTGCCCTCCCAGTGAGGCCCCATGAAGCTCAGCCACAGACCCAGGGTTAGGCCAGAGCTCAGACCCCAGGCAGCAGCACAGGTGTGCAGCCACACAGTGAGATTCTGGCCACAGCAGGCCACCTGGAGCCCTCCTTCGTGTCACTTCCATCCTGCTGAGCCAGTGGCCTCAGTGGGCTCACAGGAAGAAGTTCAGGCAAGGAAAGAACTCTGCCAACTGCCTTCTCAATGAGACACCGTTGTCACTGGCCTCTGAAAATAGAGAGGCAAGTGAGATGCTTTTGTTTATAAACGTCTGTTTGGAGAGTATGAATGAAAGAATACTCCAAAAGTAGGACCTAGCAGCAGGCACCCCTTGTAGTGCTGTGATTGAATTCTATCTGCTCATCTCTGATGGTCAGAGCCTTCCTCAAGCCAGCGCACTGCAGAGGGAGCCACTGCTCTTAGGCTGCAGCGCCGGGGAGCACGGGCAGACTGCACAGGAGGGGACATCCCAGGTTGCACAGCAGGCCTCCCCAACAGCTGCCGCGTTGCTACGGGGAGGCTGCGCTGGCAGCTTTTACCCCTCAGCTGGGGCATGCCACCTCCCTTGGGGCCAGGGAAGCACAGGCACCTGGGACTGGGAGCCCAGCCTGCTCATCCCGAGGGAGAGTGTGGAGGAGGAACAGAATGCTGGGGTCCTCCTAGGCCACTACGATCAACTCACTCAGGACCCAAGGCAATCCTGACCTAAGATTTAAGATCTAAGGCCATACACACATATGAAAGCACTTACACGTGACCTCATGGCAGATGACTCCGGGTCTAATTAAAATGGCTGTATCTGAGCAATCATCTTGGTAACACCCTGGTATGGGTATCTACCACTTGGTCCTCCCTGGGTCTGTGCCTGGCAGGCATCTGAGGAAAACACTGGTGCTCTTTCCAGACCCAGTGCAGGCAGGAACAGAGCTCATGTATGTCCCAGGAGCCCAAGGGAGGCACTAGATCAAGCTTTCTCCCCAAAGTGCAGAATTTGAAGAGGGCTGAGCTGGGGACTTGCAGGACACTCAGAAATTCATCCTGACCACCTTGGATGAAAATCTAGGGTCCAAAGGAAGAAGCAGCCCTGAGCAACCCCTGGGTCAAAGAGAGCCAGGCAGACCTCAGCCTGGAATTGAGCCTTTGGGGATCTGGCCAGACAAGGGAGTTGGACCACCAGGCTCAAAGCCTGGCTTGGGTGACTCTTAGGGATAATGATGCCAACTTGGAGACTGAGGTGACAAATGTGCATGCTTGGTGATGGTAGCCTCTGTGGGAACAGGCACTTGAGGGGCTGCGCACCTCCCCTGAGACAGGTACATTCCAGGACAGCAGTACGTGGTGCCTGCTTGACATGACAAGCCGGGCAGGGCTAGGCCCCGCCGCCCTTACCAGCTGCCAGCTGCAGTGAGGATCCGGCTGGTGAGCACCGTCTCCCACTCCTTCCCTTCCCGGTTGCACTTCAGGCGGCTCAGCTTTACACCCCCCACAGCCGTCACTTCATTCTCCACCTCAATGTACATGGAGGGATCGGAGCTCACCTACATGGGGGAAGCAAACACATGTCTTCTGAGGTGACAGTGGGCCTGGGGCAGGTGATGCCAAGAGGCTCTGCAGCCCTGGGCCCTGAGGGAGGGGAGGACACAGTGAGAACAGGCAGACCAACTGGCTGGCAAAAGGGTGACAGTGGGGGGCGGTGGCAGGGCTGAGCAGGAGGGGCAGAGGGCCAGATGTGTGGCCCCCAGGCCAGGGAGAGCGCTAGGAGCTGGTTTCTAACCTGTCATCCATGTGGTTGAACAGTCAGAGGAGACAATCAGTGTCAGAGCTACAGACCCCAAAGTCCCCCAACCCCACCACCTCCTCACACAGGGAGTAACTTGCCCCAAAGCACACCACGAGTGGAGGCTATTACCAGGCAGGGACAGAGCTGGGACTGAGACCTGAGTTTCTTTTTTTTTTTTTTTTTTTTTGAGACAGAGTCTGGCTCTGTTGCCCTGGCTAGAATGCGGTGACGTCAGCCTAGCTCACAGCAACCTCAAACTCCTGGGCTCAAGCAATCCTACTGCCTCAGCCTCCCGAGTAGCTGGGACTACAGGCGCGCGCCACCATGCTCAGCTGATTTTTTCTCTATATGTATTTTTAGTTGTCCAGATAATTTCTTTCTATTTTTAGTAGAGACTGGGTCTCGCTCTTGCTCAGACTGGTCTTGAACTCCTGACCTTGAGCGATCCACCCGCCTTGGCCTCCCAGAGTGCTAGGATTACAGGCGTGAGCCACCATGCCCAGCCGAGACCTGGGTTTCTGACCCTCTACCTGAAGAATCTTCAAAGACTACAGTGCTTGGTAAAAACAGAGCCCTTGTGGTGCCTGAAGACAAAGTCTAGGAACCCATGTGGTAGTAAGCCTTGGTCTGTTCCACAGAGACCAACCTAGTGGGAGTGTCCCCAGTATCATATGCACACGGAGAACCTAGTGCTTGGCACTAAATGGGCCCACCTGACACATGCCAGGGGAGCTGACCAACACATTTTTCCTACGGAAAGCTGGGCAGAGCCGCTGAACTGTCTGCACTCATGTGACCACATGTGGGTGAGGTGGAGCTGAGGGCTGGCTGCTGCTGGAGCCCGGCCCCAGAAACCAAGGACAGCTGCACGTAGCACTCAGCGATGAAAACACCCAGGGCAAGGGCTGGAGGACTGTGGGAGGGGAGTTTGGTGCCAAAGGCCAAGAAGCAGGGCATCAGGGAGGGAGTTTACATCAGGGCACCTGTGAGTTCAAGAGCATGTCTGAATGCTGCCAACTGCTGGAGGCACCCCTGCCTCTACCCACATCAGCAATAAGAACAAATCCTGGGGGTCCCTACCCCTCGGCTCCCCCTGCTTCACTCCTCACATCATGGCCCAGAAAGGCCTGTGGCTGGGAAGGGCCAATACCTGCTCTCTGGCACCCTGCTCAGCCTGTGCCCAGTGGAAACTGACCTATACACAGGGACCAAGAAGACTGCCTGAGGATGTGCCTGAGCTGAGGTGCAGAGTGTGTGGAGAGGCAACCCGTTTGCAAGAGCTCCATGGTGAGGGAGGCCTGCACACTGGTGCTGGGCTGAGTGACCAGAGGGCCTCTGGCTATAAAGGATTACTAGCTCCAGAGCTGTGTTTTGAATAAGCACAGGGTTACACATAGTCACAAGCTTCTATTCCATGAGCTCAAATAGCTCTGATGATGACTGTTTCTTGGCAACGAGGAGGAGACAAGGCTAGCAGGATGGTCGGGAGACAGACCATGACCCCACAGTCCAACAGGCACTAAGCCCGAGGCTGCCCAGGGCCAGGTGTGGAGATGGAGGAGGCTTCCAGAAGGGAAACCTGAGATGAGTTTTGAGGAGCTGGTCATCCAGAAGACGTAGTGGTAAGGTCAGCCGTGGCAGTTAGGACTGCAAGGGCAAAGCCAAAGGGAGGCTCATAGGTGAGGGAGAGGAGGCTAGCAACCTTGCTGAGACTTGGTGGATACCCTGATCAGCTAGGACACCCCCCCGGTGTTGGAGGACCACTGGAAACCGGTCCCTAAGGCAGTGACAAGACAGCATTTACACGGGGTGGGGAGAGAATGTTTGCATGCGCCTGAGGGAGTCGGTGGGTATCCAGCACTCACCTGGAGGGTGAAAGCTCTCTGGGGGCCCGGAACCGGCAGCTTCAGTGCAAGTGCTGCTGCAGACAGACACATGGCCTCCTTCTCTGCGGTCAGGGCAGCTGGAGACTGCAATAGCCAGAAACACCCCTTAGCCCCTGAGCTACTACGGGGGTAGCTTTAGATAAAGGCAAGTTTCCCAGAGATCAGGCAGACCTGTGAGGGCATTTCTACCTACTCTGTGATGGAAAAAGCACAGGGGCATGCGACAACGGTCCCCATTTTACAGATGTGGTGGCTGACACCAAGGCCTGTTCAAGGACTCTGGGAGTGTCACGGGCAGGTCTGAAGGGGAGTGTGTCTAAGCCAGCTGGTTCCCAAGGTACCCCACACTGCTGAAGCACCCCATGCATGCAGGGCCTCCCAGCACCGAGCACAGGGATGCGGTGGGGAAGGCAGGGTGGGCCAGGTGGCCTCACCTGGACAGACAGAGCCACGGGCATGAGACGGGCATCCTTCCGAGGCCGCCCTTTCTTCTTCTTCTCTACTGTCTCCACCTCGAGCTCAAGTTTTCTCTTGGACAGCGAGGAAGGCTTGGCCAAAGGGACTTTTTCGTCACTGTCACTGCTGGTCTCCAGGAGGTCCCGGGGCCTCAGGTCTTTCACAAGGTTCTGTTCTTTTAACCTGCACAAAAATATCGCATCACATTTCCCTTCAGAAACTACACAGGCAAACAAAGAGTGAAGTGAAATATTTAAAGTGTTTAAAAAAACCCCACCAACCTAGAATTTGGTATCCAGTGAAATCATGCCTCAAAAGTGAAGGAGAAATAAAGACTTTCTCAGACAAAAACAAACAAACAAAACACCTGAGAGAACCTGTTGCCAGAATACCTGCCTTGCAAGAAATGTTAAAAGTTTTTCAGAGAGAAGGAAATGATGCAGGTCAGAAACTCCTATCTGCACAAAGAAAGGAACAGTATTAGAAAAAGAATAAAAGAACATGAAATAACACCTTTTATTTTTCCTATTCTAAATCTAACAGGTAACTTTCTATTCAAACTACTAAGAGCAACCGTGTCTCGATGACTGCAGCTGATGAACAGGGCCATGCGTGGCGGCAGCGCTACCGGGCAAAGAAGGGAGGAGCGGCAGCGCTGTGGTGAGGCACCTGCGCTGCCCGTGTGGCGCTACAACATCATCTGAAAGTGGACTCAGACTAGTTGTAAGTGTTCACTGCAAACTTTAGAGCAACCACTAAAAAATTTTTTAAAAAGAAGTATAATTAATAATGCTAAGAAAGGAAAGAAAATGGAATCAAATAAAATGCTCAATTAAAACCAGAGAAGGCAGAAAAAGAAGGAAAGATGAAAAATAAAGAATAGTGCAATGAATAGAAAACAGTTAAAAATATGGTAGATATTAATCCAACTAGATCATTATTGATCATTATTTCATTTTGAATGTGAAAACTCTAAGTACATCAGTTAAAGACAGAGACTGACAGACTGGATTAAAAAAAATGTTTTAGGTCAGGTATGGAGGCTCACACCTATGATCCCAGTGCTTGGGGAGGCCGAAGCAGGAGGATTGCTTGGGGCCAGGAGTTCAAGACCAGCCTGGGCAACACAGTAAGATCCTATCCCTACAAAAAAATTTAAAACTTAGCCAGGCGTAGTGGTGTGCACCCGTAGTCCCAGCTACTCAGGAGGCTGACACTTGAGCCCAGGAGTTTGAGGTTGCAATGAACTATGATCACACCAGTGTACTCGCAGCCTGGGAGACAGAGTGAGATCCTGTCTCTA